AATGCATAAAAGGTGGTGAGGCTCTGGAGAGCCGAAGCTCCCCAGAATAGGAATATTAGTATATGTAAGTCGCAGCTGTAGATCGGTAGTGGAGATCCCGGCGATGAGGAGGAGTGCTTTTATACCCCAGGGGACAAAGATCGAAAGTTCAATGAGGGTAGGGTGGTTGAAGTTTGAACGAGGGACAGGAGTGCTGCGTCATAGTAACGCAGTTGACCTTTAATCTATTTTTAGCAAAAACCATTAATCATTATTTGATATATTACGCGATACACGTGTGTGTATGTGAGACATACGCGGGACGTGGAAGTGATGTGCAATTCGTTTTTGCGACTATCTGGTCATAGGCCACCATCGATTATGCTCAAAAAGTTCCGGTCCTCTAGCTGCATCAATTCTGAAGTTACAAAAGTGCATGGGTGAAATTTTCACGTGTCCGTACGCGAGATGCAGAAGGGCTGGAAAACTCAATTTACTTTCACGGGCACAACAGTTAGTGACAAGTAACGCTGCAAAATTGCAGCCCCCCACAGCCTCTCGGTCAGCTTAAATCTGAAGTTGGAATAATGCCAGCCTAGACTTTGACGTGTATGTACGTGAGACCTAGGGGTGCGTGAAAACTGAGTTTGAAATCTTTAGATTAGACACGGCTAAGGAACATCCCTGTGAAGTTTCAGCCTCCTAGCTTGTGCTGCTCCCGAGAATGCTCTCCCGCCAAAAAAACTTTCACGTGCCCGTACGTGAGAGCCACACGGACCTGAGCTTTCACACTGAGGACAGGAGCCCTCACATAAGTATAGATTAAGCTACCAAAGTTTCAGCCCTGTAGCTTTCATGAATCTCGAGATGAAAACTCGTTATAGATGCACGCAGGGACATACAAACATACACACATACATACATACACTGACAATCCCTCAACAATGAGTTTTTGCACTGCACAGATGCAAAAAACGCATAAAAATTGCTTTAGCTATTTTTAAATGTTGAAAGGCCTCTCCGAAAAAAAAAACAAGATTATTCCAGACTGAGCAATAGATGATACAGCATCCGCAGCAACAACAATGGAAAGGCTGCGAACCGTGGCAACATTGTTATCCAACAACAGCTTGTTAAATCCTCAAAGGAACTGAAATGTGGCTGAAGGAAGTTTACCTTAGCAGAGATGAAAGCACCGTATTCTGCTTCTCATCCGGAGCCGAGCATGCGAAAAGTCCAGGCCATGTGCGCAACAGATTCAGAAGTGTTTTCGAAATACACTGCAAAGCAGACGTACCCAAAGGTTGCAACTGTTGTTGTCTCCTGAAAAAGCAAGAGCGTCATGTGTGTAAAATTACGTTTAATGTCTAGTGATCTTATAGCAAAACGTAGCAAAATTACGACATTCAACGATAAGATCGCTACTTACGAATTTCAATCTACAGGCCAAAAATATGCACCAAAAAAGCCGGGCTAGTTCAAAACCCAGGCTGGAACGCACCAGGCTAGCCGGTGCGATCATGCGTTTTTGCGATCATCAAACTTGAATTAATTAGGTTAACTGCATGAACCGTTGTTTCTTCACACTTACCTTGTGCGCTCAACACCATAAATCGTCGTAAATTTTGCATAAAAGGAAATAAACAATTTCCGTATAGTGGTCGTTTTTTGAAAATGACCCAGCTGTTCAACGAGTAATTTTCCCGTCACGTGTACGTGGAGGCTGAGTTTGAAACTTTTAAGCTGTATTTGAACGGGGAATGTTCTCCTAAAATATCAGCTTTCCAGCTTTTCTGGTTTTCGAGTTAGCAGTTTTCCCGCCAAAACTTTCGCAGGGTCACACGTGAACTGGGAGCATACCTGGGAACTGGGTTTGGAATCTTTAAGTTGTACGTGAGCTGGGAGCATCCATTTAAAATTTCAGCCTCCTGGCTCACCTGGTTCCCGAGTTAGCCACTTTCCCGCCAAAAAATTTCACGGAGCTGCACGTGAGAGCCGTGCTTGTCTGAAGGCTGGATTTGATAACTCTAAGTTCCACGAGTTATGAACATCCCCTCAAAATTTCAGTCTCCTAGCTTTCCTGGATTCCGCGCTAGCCGTTTCCCACAAAAAATTTCACGAGGCCGTACGTAAGGACCACGCATGCTTAGGGCCTGAATCCGGTAACTTTAAGTTGCATATGCGCTGGAAACATTCCCTTTTCTTTTTTCGTTCCCGAGTTATCAATTTTCCAGTCAAAACTTTCATCCTCTCATACGCGGGGCCTAGATTAGCGTGAGGGTTGGTACCGCGGTTCTGGGGTGGCACTCGGGCGGGGAACCCACTAGCAAAACTTTGGCTTTGGAGCTTGTTTGGTTGTCGAGTTGAAATACCCGGACAGACGAACACACACACAAGCAAACACACACAGACAGGGTCATCGTAATATGAGTTTTTGCAATTTGCATATAAACAAAAAAGCGTAATGATAGGAAAGTCCTGTCAGCAAAAACAGGGCCACAGATAATTTCAAAAAACAAAACAGGCGAGATTTCAAGCAGTACCTGGAAAAACTTACAGTTCCTTCAAATCCATCCTTTGTGAAAGCCCAATTTCAATCACTGGAGCAAAAATTTCCTAAAAATCATAACTAAACAGAAAGATGAAAAGCAGTGTGCAAAATCCATTTCATTGTGCAAAAAAGCTCACGGCGGGCATTAAACTAATAAGTGATATCCAAGCAGTGTTAAATGGGAAGTGCGAAGGTCTTCACTGGTACGAAAGGCATCTGACTGGATTTTCAAAGACGCGAAAAGTGCTCAACAGAAAATAGAAAGATGTCAGCTTTTGCAGTAACGAAATAGCAGCTTACCAAGGTAACGATGTGATTATAATCATCTAGCAAACGAAAAACAAAAACATTCGGGAGCTCCCGAATAGATGACATCGAACGGACGGTGGATACTCAGCTTAGGATAGATGACCTGGGAAGTAAAGAAGCATTCCAGGAACATCATTAAGGGCGGGATCCCTATGCCGATTGTCTGCGCAGTTTCTGTTTATAAATGTAATTTAAAGTTCAAGAAGTACCTCTAAAAGCAATCGAAGATTTGTTTGTGCCCTTAGCCGTGGTGCATCAAGCCAAACACATAAAATATAACAAACAAAAGAGGACGGGCGTTCATTAAGCACTGCACCACTGAGAAGCTCCGCAAGCCAACCTATAACGACAGATACTGATTCTTCAACATCCCACAGAAGTCCTGTTAACAAAACAGGAAAACTATGCTGTTGTGCTTTATAACTGGGCTCAAAAACTTCATCTTGCTTAACACGCGTTAAGACACGAAGTGATACAAGACAGCAAGCCTATCACCCATACTTTTCTTCTCACAACTAATTTCCCCAGCACCGGGATTCAACTCAACTTCAATAGAATCTTCTTCCCCCGCTGTATTTGCCAGGACCGCTACGGTTTCAGGAAAGAGGGGGAATGCAGGATTCATTCATCCGTTACCCTCTTCCTCTGCGTACTTAGAAGATTTGTTGGAGGAAAGCGTGAACAGCGTAGAAGTATGTGTAGCCTCAGAAGCGGAACAAAGCACACAGCAAGAATATCAAGATCGCTCGGACAATCAGTATTGGTTTCTCGTGCTAATAATGCTACTGAAATGTTATCGCACAATGAGCGTAGCAGCTAGTCAGGCATTCGATCTTGGGTTGCATATCTCCAGTTAGTGCCCATCCTTGCTTGACCATGTGTGTCAATTGTTCGAAGGTCCCCACAGCACCACTCACGAAGTATATATAACGGAACTCGGAAAACCCAATGCTGCCGGAGTGCGCAGTAAAAATTGCCCAAAAAAGCATCTGTTATAAGGAGTCTTAAATCCGACTGTTAAAAATTTGATTTGTTCTTATCAGTGTTTTGTTACCACGCGACGGTGACAACAAAGCCAACTGACTTAAACAGAACAAATAACCATCAAATTATGACGAATATTTAAAGCAAAATAAGCAGCCAAGGGCGGCAATCACTTAAATGACAATCGTTCAGTTACCTGCGCCGAGAGTATCGAGAATGAGATCTGGCGACAGCACAGCCTGCTCTGCAATCAGTGCG